AGTGAAGCGCATGCCTAACCTCTCTTCTTTACTTGACCTCAGAATCTCAATTTACATTGTTGAAATTTGTTCTAAATTGAAAATGAAAATAGTTGTATCATCATCATGATTTCCCCTCAAGCTTGTGTAACTTCAACGGATGTCTTGGTGCAGAATACGTGTTTTTCCACAGAAACAGTTTGAGGGGATGTATGGACAAGTTTTAGAAAACCTGCCAAAAATACTATGTGGGCAGAAAGACCTGCACTGAGTCACAAAGCAAAAGTAGGTGACGCTGTCACACCCATAATGACAGTGTTGAATGAATTCCTGTGAAAGGTCGATGAGCCATGTTTTAATGAGCGTTTGCTGTTGGTGTCGCGATAGAGTAAACATGTGGCTTGAAATGACCTCATTAATCACACAACTTTTGTTTTTATGTTTCGAGAATCTTGTCTAAAAATAGTTTAAAGTTGTACACTAGAACTTGTAAACCCTGGTGTCATTTCATATGTTCCTTTGTATCTACACGCCTACAAAAGAGGCATCAGTCAATATAATTATGCCTCAAGTCATTCTGGTGATATAAATCCGGTGAAATAAAAAGTTAGGATTTCCAACTTATTCTTTTTTTTAACCATTCGTTTGTGGCGTTTGTCTGTCAGTCTTTCCTGCTGTGCTTAAATGTGTTTGTCTATTATTCTGCTATTAGAGGCCTGTAATTACTGTTTGCCCTCTGGAGTGTTTGGAAATTGGAAACATGACCATATCAAACGCACACATACTTACACACCCTGTATTTCAGGAGCACCGACAGATACTCAGTCATCATTTAAGCCGCAGGAAAAATAATACATGGCTATAACTGAAAGTGAGAGATCAATCTGTGGTGTGTATCTGTTTTCATCCAGTGACTATTTCCATTTAGAGCCATTAGGCATTAACCGTAAAAAAACAGTGATCAACTATGGCTTATTAACTGGGCTCATTTATATCAGTTTATAGTAAGTTTTTTATTACTTTGATAACATGTTTGGAAGTGATATCTCAGGAAGAGGCTTCACATCTCTGTTTGCCTCCCTCATTATTTTAAAAAGCAATTGACACTCAACAGTTCATTAATTTTTCATGAACGATTTCTTCCTCCTGTGATATATGATTATCCGCACCACAGTGGCTCCTAATGAAGTGCAGATATTCAATATGGGAATCAGAGCGGCGCTTGTGTCAGTTGGCGGATCTCAGCTGTTTTTCCTGCTTCACTTTGTAGGTCAATGATTTGCTTGCTAGAGCTTGTTAGATGCACAAGGTGTGTTTTCTTTAGCAGGAAACCTCACAGCGTAATAGTAAACCAATGAGACCCGCCAGTGACCTGTTGAGTTCCTTAGAACAGTACACAGCACGTTTAGTTTCATGTTGCTGCTCGCTCTCTCACACTTAGCTGTAGATGCATGCCAACATTATAAATACCAACAACCACAAAGTGAGGCAACCTCACAAACAGGCCTTGGCTGAACATGTGCAAAGTTACAGTATAGATTGGAGCTTTGATATCAGGTGACAGTTCATGCTTCAGCCCTGGAGGCTGGCATGGTTAGCCCGCTAAAGGCTGACCTAAGGGCTGCACCATAAAGTGAGATTAGTAGTTGGCGAGGAATGTTGAGTCTAACGCCAGAGTTTTCCATCCTATGAACGTGGCTCTTTTTGAATGTGGCTGGAACTCCATGGTGATGTGTGGTGCAGAGCTAACCTGCTCAGGACCAGACTGATCTGTCCATCTTTGGGTCGCCCTCAGACCCTAAAAGGAGGGAGCTGGTCCAATGTGGACTTGATCCCTTGAAAAAAAACTGCTCCCAGATCATGCGTACGGTGCCAGTTTTTAAGGGATTGCAGATGTTTTGTGTGTGGTGCTGATTGAGAGGAGGGGTGAGGTGGTTTTCATCCCCCTGCTGCCCATGCCAGAGGGATCCGTAGGACTGCCCCCACATGTGCTCCAGCTGCCATGGAGTGTGAGGGGCACAGCCCTGACAGTTCCTATGTGCCCTATTTGTTATTGTAGCGGAGGGACTAAGTAAATAAGCAAGCAACTAGGAGGTAATTTGTACAGTAATTTGAAAATATCGTTTTACAGTTGCATAAATGTAGTTGTTTACATGGACTCAAACACATAGACGAAGCATGAGAGTTATAGTTTGCATATGAAAGGCACTTAACAGTGACAAAAGACACCACATAGGATCAGCGTGGTCCCATGTTCATTCGTGTGTCATACAGTTTGTTTCACGTCTGCCAGATGGAGCTCAGAGCTTGTTGGCGTCTCCCCTAACCAGCGATTACCCTGAGCAGCATCGTCTAGATCCATGATTCGAGGGAGTCGTCCACTAGCACCACCCTCCAGGTAGCCAGGCTTCACGGCGGGTGTATCTGAGAGCCTCCTCATGCTCTTGTTCAGGTCTGAGATTGCCAATAACATTCTGTGTCTGGCTCCAAAGGCAGAGATGCCCACTTCAGATCTTCATCAGACAGTATGAGGAGCATCTGTTAGTCAGTCTCTAGTTGTTCTAACACATGGATGTACTTGATAAGGCCAAGGTGGCTCAGCAGCTCAGGCTGGTCATCTATCATTTGGGGGAGAAGGTCAGCTGACTGCGGGTTGACGCCCTCCTCAATGAGCGCACATTTCCAATGTAGCTGCTGCTGCTTGGGAGGCTCTCCGATTGACTCTATAGTCAACAGTCAGTCTATGACAGATACCCCCAAACCTGACCATAAGAGGCACCTTTCGGCAAAACACGTGCCCTAAACATCATAAAATATCCTGCATTTCTGACAAGTGTGATTTATGAAGTTAATCAGAAATCACTCTCCAAACTGCAGTATTTTCAGACGGCTGAGTGATTTGATTGACTGTCATGGCGTCGCTGGGCTTTAAGATAGCCCAGGAAGTTGGTCTCAAGGCCCTTCTTGAGACGGGCAAGTCAGCAAATCAAAAAATGCCAATCACTGTAAATGAGTCATCAGCAAATAAAGCCGACTGCAGTGCACTTTGCAAAACCTTTGTTATTCCTTTCTGCCTGCTCATTGGTTCACTGTAGTGAAGTGTTTTATGGCTCCTTCTCCCTCTCCTTGTATTACTTTGCCTTATGAAATCATGCGTCACCGTTGCTCACAACAAATCATTCATGCACCCACACGGAGGAGTTAACTTCAAACACACACTCTCTCACAGACACATTGATTTTTAAAAACACACAAAGCCTTTTTTTAAGCAGTTTAACAAGACGCCACACATGTACGCACTCTTACACATACGCACACATAGGCTTTGGTTGTGAAATGCCGTGAGTCACAGTCTGACAAGTCTATGGGGGACGTGGCTTAAGCCAATCACTTACTCGCCCACATGCTGCCATGAAGGAAATGAGTGTGATTGATGTCGGTGGTGGGCGCAGTAATTAAGATTGTTGATTAATCTCTGTGTACAACAGCCTGTTCCAGACAGTGTGAGTTGTGGGTGGGAGACCAGACAGTCTGCAGCGGTTTTTATTTCCAAACTTGCAACTGTCCATCTTCTACTTTTTATAGAGTGATGGATTAAATTATCATAATCTAATGGGCTGGCAGGCTGGGCCATTATTTATTTTGGTGTAGTTTGTCTAGTAACTCAGCAAGTACTGCAACTAAATACACAGTGACCACCTTGTAACAACACGCACAGGTGGAAAGTACTTAAGCACTAAAAACAGTTGTGAGGCACTGGTGCAACAACTTTGTCATTTTTATTTTGTGCAACTTAATTCAAGAGACTAGAGATACTAAATATTGATTCTGGTTTTACTATAAAAACATTTGCTGACCTGATATATACAATTACAAGAACGTTTTTTGCTTGTTACCCATTTAAAAGAAGCAATGTCACGTTGCAACCCTTCATTACTGCTTGCATGTCTCTACCAGTTGTGACCAGTTTAGCCAAAAGTGTTTTCTTGTTTCATCTGAACACCTTTAAGAAGCCTGGGGAGTTAAAAGTGTTCAGTAAATCACATATTCAGTTGTCCTTTCAATCACTTTGTGACCCCTCAGATTTATCCTGCCATCGAACAGCACATGAAGTAATCATTGGCATTACATGCACTAGCTACGACAAATGCCCACATGTTAATGCAGCAATAATTTAACTCTCTGAAGGGTTCGTTCTGTACAGAGAACATTCACTACTTTGATTAAATGTCACCGCCACTGCTTATGTACTGTAATCTCAGCACAATAATGATTAAAGGGAAATGTCCAGTGTTGAAAGGGCTCAGTGTGACTGCACCCCTGTGATGCTGAAGATGTTAATGGAGTAAATCAAACATGCACTGATCTATTGTGCCCTCTGGTGGAGAGTTTTGCTCTCTGTCTGTTCAGTTTTGGTTGGTTACAATCACTGATGCACATACTTGCATGCACTATGAGTGGGAGTGATAGTGCCGCCTGGGGGTCCGAGCTGGAGCCAAAGGGTTGGATGGATAGAAAAGTAGGAATGAGCAAAGTCAGATAGGAAGGTAAGAAGGAGCATAGGGTAGGCAGAGCCAAGGAGAGACATCTGTGTGGACTGAACTCTCCCCGCCAAACCAGGCCGTACTCTCCGCCTCCCTTGACTCCCTCATTTTGATGAGTGAAGAGAGGGGAGAAAAACTACTTGTGATTGTGGGTTAGAGCTGGAGCCATGCTGGGGGAGGGGACTGGGGGTTCATCAGGTGGGTACCCTTCTTCGCTGGTGTTTCAATGATAGGCCCACAACAGGCCCTCTGTCTCTGTTTACTAACACTTGAATTCACATAGGCATCGAAAATTGATATTCACATTCTTATAATGGAAAGGAAAACTGTCGATAAACACGCATGCGAACACAAGGGTGATATCATACCATATGGATATGACCTATTGTAACAGGCCTAGTTTTTGTTTCATTTATTTCATTGACATTATCTCAGTAACACCCCCCCATGTCTCTCCCTGTCCTGTCTGTCCTCCAGGATGTGAAGATGCCACATTCTGTCAACTCCTTCCCGACGGAAACACTCATCTCAAAAACCTTCCCTTTGGACTTAATCTCTACCAGCGTGTGGCCTACAGAGCCGTACGCAGCAGACAGCTTCATCGGCAGCGTCAGCAACATCAGCAACGTCAGTGGCATCAGTGGGAAAGGAATCCTCCGCTGCACCTATAAGGAAGACTTTAAACGTATCTTACTCCCTGCTGTGTACACCTTTGTGTTCATTCTCGGACTTCCTCTCAATGCTGCTGTCATACTGAAAATATGGAGGACTCGGCCCAATCTGTCCAAAAACAACATTTATATGCTCAACTTGGCTATAGCCGACCTCCTGTATGTGATGTCACTTCCCTTGCTTATCTACAACTACGGCAGTCATGACTACTGGCCCTTTGGGGAGTTTACTTGTAAGTTGGTCAGGTTTCAGTTCTACAGGTGAGACACTTAGTTACATCATTTTTTAACTTTACACTCACAACACAGTCCAAAAAGTTGCAGGTTAATAAGATTTCATATAACAGTATTTTATTTTTCCTATTTCCTGTTTCAGTAATCTCCATGGCAGCATCCTCTTCCTCACCTGCATCAGTGTGCAGCGCTACGTGGGCATTTGCCATCCCCTGGCGATGTGGCACAAGCAAGGTGGACGCAGGCTGGCATGGTGTATCTGCGGAGGGGTGTGGCTGGTGGTCACCATCCTGTGCGCTCCGACTTTTCACTTCGCTGCGACGGGAATCCAGCGAAACCGCACCGTGTGCTATGATTTGAGTACGCCAAAGAGATCAGTAGACTACTACCCTTATGGCATGGCTCTGACCTGCCTCGGCTTCGTGTTGCCTTTCATGGGCGTGATGGTGTGCTACTGTCGGATGGCCCACATCCTCTGCCGCCCAGTGTCCTACGAGGGCGTCTCCATCGCCACTGGGGAGAAGCGAGACAAGGCGGTGAGGATGATCATTGTGGTGGCGGCGGTGTTCTGCATAAGCTTCCTGCCGTTTCACCTCACCAAGACCATGTACCTGGTGATACGTACTCTTCCAAATGCACCCTGCGAGATGAGAAACTTGTTTTCGATCATCTATAAAAGCACCAGGCCGTTTGCCAGCATGAACAGCTTTCTGGACCCCATACTGTTTTACTTCACCCAGCCTCGCTACCGCCGGAGCACCAGGAGGTTTATGCTCAAAGTCACCACCCTCAGGGACAAGGGCACCAGTGTGTGAGCTGACAGTACATCATACACTGCAACAGTATTTCTTTAAGCCTTGTTGCTACACCAGTGGTGGATCCCAGGAGGCTGCAAAGTGGTTCATGTATCGGTAGCTGAGTTTTTTTTTAAAAAACAAGTTTCCTCGTGCATGAAATGAAAGCCTTGTGCTTTACCTACTGCTCACCACAACAAAGAGCTACCTTCCTGAGAGGGTTTGAAAATGATTTAGAGGCACTGACATATCAAGAAGCCTTCTGAAATATGGCAAGCTGTTTTAACATTTAATGGCCAGACTGGATACATGGTGCAGATATCCATAATTCAATTCTTCCTACATAGAGAGCATTTCAGACATTCATAATGTCATTCTTCCCAGGAACAACGACGCCACTTTTGACATTGATGTGTATTAGGCTTTCATCTTCAGATATCCACGTCATTGTAAATCCACCAAAAACATTCAGGATATCTGCAGCAGAATTCTTGTTAGGAAAACTCCAATTTAGTGGTTAGCATTGTTGCCTCACAGCTAAAAGGTTCCTGGTTCGAACCCAGGTTGGGGGAGCTTCCCTGTGTCAGCATGGGCACCTCTAGGTACCCTTGCTTCCTCCTACAGTCCAAAGACATGCAGGTTAACTGGTGACTCTAAATTGCCCGTTGGTGGAAATGTGGGCATAAATCTATGTGTCAGCCCTGTGATAGTCTGGCGACCTGTCCAGGGTGTACCCTGCCTCTCGCCCAGTATCAGCTGGGATAGGCTCCAGCCCCCTTGCGACCCCCAACAGGATAAGCGGTTACGGAAAGTGAATGGATGAAAGAATGCACAATACATTTGAAGATAGCTGCACTTGCATTGTTGCTAGTTAGTTTTGGATATTCAAAATGACATTATGGATATCTGGAACGTTTTTTTCTGGATATTTGAAATTAAAATTATGATTAGTAACAACTGGATTGTAGATATCTGAAATTGGATTTTTTTTTTCCTATTAAGAACTGTGTTGCAGATACCCTGAATGTTCACTCTGAACATCTAAAATTCAATTGTGGATGTCCGAAATTCAAATCCAGATGCCCATGAGTAGCAAAATTGATGTAATTTTTCCTAGGAAAAATAATGTTGAGGATATCTGAAATGACTATTTTAAATAGGAAGAATGACATTGTGAATGTGATTACGGACATCTGTAATACACATCTTTTTATACTTTTCAAAGATTTAAAGACATCTTAAATTTAGTTTTGACTTGTACAAATTTCTACATATCTTAAAATAATATTTTTTACGAGTAAGAATGCATTGTGGATATCTATATCTACCATTCTGACTAGAGAGAATACAGTTTTGATTAGGAGAAATGTTAAATTGGATATCTAAAGTGTACTTGCACAGAGGAGTGTGATTTGATTATATGTTAAAACAACTTGCCATACTGAAATGCAAAATGAAGGTTGTAATCTCTTTAATATAAAAAGTAAACGGACGGAGAAAACCAGGAGGAAAATTTCCCAGAGCTGAAATAAAAATGATATAATCTTCAACGGGCATTAACCATCTCAGCCATCACACTGTATTTCTCTGGGGAACTCAGACATTGAGGACACTTCTCATTGAAATTACAGATACTGTCATGCCTTTATTTCATGATTATTGAGGCTGAGTAGTGCTGTACATGCACTATTTGTATCAGGGTATTTACATCCTGCATTGTCCCTACTATCTGTGAAATGTTTATTTTCAGTCTCCGCTGTGTGCTGGGTAGTAAAGAGAAACTTTTATTATTTTTGTAAATAATTATTTTGTGTCACTCTGTGAAATACAGTATAATATATGTAGATGATGCTAATGATAATGCTCCAACATGATAAAATAACAAGGAGTGTCTTCCTCCACAGTTTAATGTAGAACTAAAAGTGAAAGATGATTTAGAGATATTGTACTGAAATGGTTAAAGGGAGAAGGAAAGGTCAATACATGTATTTTTGGGGATAAAATCCACCATGGCACAAAGCCATGTAAATGCTTACAGTTACTGTACATGTGTACGACTGCATGCATGAAGCACCTGTGTGGAAATGTGCATTTTTATATGGAGTATTACACTTTGATATGAAGGCTTCTATTGTTGTAAGACTTGTTGTTGCATGTTTTCACCACTGGGTGGTGTGTGCGCTCCACTGCTGTAACCCCTCTGCACTGAAATGCCAGCTCTATTCTGTCTATAAATGGTGCGGTTATGAGCACATTATCCAGTGAGGATAAGATCTTAGCTATTACAATCAGAGATAAATCAGTGCCAACAAAAGTTAAATATCCAGCTCATGTCAGTCTGTAGTTTTGCCTTGTGTTCCTTAAATTCTCTTGTGGACAAAGGAACCCCGTTTTAAAGTATGTGCCAATGTTAATACATTTAAGAGTCATTATCAGATGCATGAGGGGGAGGGAAAATGCTATTTTTAGACTTAAATACAGGCTCTAAATTAAGGGACAACCCTGCTTTTTCCCCACTTCCTGTTGTTGTGTGAACTCCTTCCATGAATTCAGGATTTCTCTTCTAAGAAATCAACTCTGCTGATTGAAGTTTGGTGCTATAGAGATGATAAAGGATGAATAATAGGGAATAGAGACTCTTAAAGAGGTTTCCAGAGTACATGTGAATTGTTTGGTACTTAGTACTGCTTTGATTGCTCTACCTGGATACATACAGTCTAAATTTGTACAGTCTATACAATTAAACTTGCTTCTACTATTGCTTATGGAGTTGCACCAAATAACTGAGTTGCTGAGTTCATGACTAGGGAATCTGTAACGTTCATGAAATGGATGCAGTTTGCTCTGTAGTTGGTTGTGACTTAATTTTTCTGTTGTTTAATGTTAATTTAACTTAATTCAAATGTAAATGTTTTTCCTAGCTCTTACTTTTCTGATTACTTTTGCAGAAAACTGAGGTCTCGTTCACTTAAAGCAGCGGCTGTCAGCTGCCAGAGGGAAAATATGGAGTGAAAAAAGTTGAATAAATATAATTTATGTGGAGGAAATAAAGAAAGGGTTTGCTGATACTATCAAGCTGACCTTTATCTGATTAAAATTCCCATTTATTGTTAGTGACTGATAAAAAATGGTGGAGTGGGGGATGGGATATGAACTTTTTCCAACTTCTGAAGAGGGACATGACCCAAAAAACAAAAATGAGAATCACTGCTTTAAGCGTTAACAGATGTTGCATGAATTTGACCAGATTGTACTCTGCTGTCATATCGGTAATTCTGGCATTGTTTTTGATACACTGTTGTGAATAGTGGTTTAATGTGAACATGTAATTCCCATGCATTTTAAATGCAAGGAACATTTTGACCACAATATGCTTAAAAATGTTAGGAACTTCCGAATGTATGTGTGTGTTCAGTGTGCTTATTCAGTAGTGTAGTAATATATCTTGATGTTTATGTCTGTCAGGTTGAATATTAGCAGTGTCAGATGATTTTTGTCTGTAGTGTGTGTGAGGTTAGTTTAGAGGGATGACATGTCTATGCACTGTACCAACACATTTGTGTCAATCAGTATTATTTAGAAGAATTCTTATTTTTTGTAATAAAAGAGTAATATCAGAAATAGAATTTTATTTTTGTTACATAGATATTATTGTGTGATGAAAAAGAAACATGTATGTTTTTATATGCAGTATATAAATTAGTTTTTTCTTGTCTTACCATGCAGCCCCCTTGAGTTGCTTGTGTAAATGTTTTGGATGTTGTCATACTGTAACGAACAAACAGCCATTAAAAAAGTCATACAGCCTTTCATGAATGTCTTTAATTCATTTATACAAAAGGTAATTTTCTAACGAATATGGTACGGCCGTGACACCAAGAAATCCTACCAGTGGCTGGAAAAGGTTGGACTGAAAGACAGCACAGAAGCACTAATCATGGCGGCACAAGAACAGGCCCTCAGTACAAGATCAATAGAAGCAGGGGTTGACCACACCAGACAAGACCTCAGGTTCAGGCTGTGCAAAGATGCTCCTGAGACAGTTCAGCACATAATAGCAGGGTGTAAGATGCAGGCAGGAACAGCGTAAATGCTTCAAACCGAGCATCATAATGGGGAAGAAAGGTGATTTAAGTGGCATGGTTGTTGGTGCCAGACGATCTACTGGGATTTTCACACACAACCATCTCTAGGGTTTACAGAGGATGGTCCAAACAAGTGAAAATATCCAGTGAGCAGCAGTTCATCTTCTGATGGCTACTTCCAGCAGGATAACACACCATGTCACAAAGCTCAAATCATCTCAAACTGGTTTCTTGAACATGACAATGAGTTCACTGTACTCCAATGGCCTCCACAGTCGACAGATCTCCAATAGAGCACCTTTGGGATGTGGTGGAACGGGAGATTCTCATCATGGATGTGCAGCCGACAAATCTGCGGCAACTGTGTGATGCTATCATGTCAATATGGACCAAAATCTCTGAGGAATGTTTCCAGCACCTTGTTGAATCTATGCCACCAAGAATTAAGGCAGTCCTGAAGGCAAAAAGGGGTCCAATCTGGTACTAGCAAGGTGTACCTAATAAAGTGGCTATCAAGTGTATTTATCTAGTATGTTTTTCCTGGACTGCAACCTCCAACTTTCCTGACATGAGTCAACTTTTCACAATTTCACCTAGCAACTTCACAGTTCACGTCAGGTATGGAGTCCTATAAACTTGACACTGAGTTTCCAAAGTAATTCAAGATATACTGTATAAGGAGAGGAAATACAAGCGGTTCTATGTGGTTAAACTTGTGTGTAGAGTTTAGCAGTAGTCCATGATGTGCCACCAGTGACCTGACATGTTGCAGGTCAGACTGTGGAGGGCGTTGCAGTCAGCAGCTACTCTCCTCTCTGAGGGAATGTAACACAGAATTCCTGCCTGGAACAAAAGGACCTGTTAACCAGACAGCCACATGGGAAGCACCACAGAGGGGTTATTGTGTATGGGTGAAAACTTTTTTTCTTTGTTTTCTCCCCCCTCCCTTGAATGCTGACACTCTAATTCACCAACACCTTCACAACACAGTGTGGCGTTGAGCTACTGGGGGAATATTAAATCAGTGTGTCATTCTCTTCCTCTAAAAATATAAATACTGTACTGTATGTTGGGAATTATAGTGTGTATACAGTGATGTGTTCATGTGCATGTTTGCTAAAGTGCTCCAGGTGTAAAAGATTGTTTTAAAATGTAGTTTTCTGTCTTAAACTCTTGACAATGCCACTGTCTTTTTCGCAGGGGAAAGGGCTATAATTACATGTAGTTTGTCCACAGTATCTGCCTTCTCCTATCAAAAGAGAAAAACGCTTTTCCTCTCAATCCCCGAGGGGGCTATGACAGCCCCTATACCCCTAGTCCCGCCCACCCACTCTGCCCTATCTCAGGCATTAACATGCAAAAAACAACATAAGTCACGGAAAACCAAATCATGACAAAATAAGGAATCCACAAACAGTTTTTTGGGGGAATTAACAGTGGATGATGCGTCGGGCCCGTGCAGGCGTGCTAACCTGGCGATGGGCTAAGGTTTAGAAATATGAGGGGGGGTTAACAATGGAAAAGTTGTGTTTGTGAACAGGTTGGGAAAAGTTTTGGCCACAAAAAAAGTTGCAGCGCTTGCACGGATGCGGTTTCGGGAATCGACAACATGTAAGTTTTGATAACAGAGTAGCTCTCATCTACCTACTGACTGATGAGTTTATCCACTCATTACCGTGCTGTGTGAAGCTTTGCCAACTATTTAGTTTTAAAACAGTGATTGTTTGGAGGTTTTTGTGCCGTAAGGCTGCGTGGGGGGAAATGGACCACAACTCCAGAAGGTGCTCGGGGCTGTGATATCCGTGGAGTTAAAAATGTGTGTGTGAAATCTAACAAAGAAAGACATGAACAATGGCAGAAAGAGAGAGGAAGAAAAGTGTGTATCGCAGCGTCTCTTTCAAAAAGTTGGGGTCCTGGAGCGCCAACAGGAGTGAGGAGCAACAACACAAATCAGAGGATTTGGAGGCAGCTGGCGTCGCCCTTCCCCCGGAGCCCAGCAAAGCAGAACAGCACTTGGCGACGCGTAATGTCAGTGTGTCAAGAAAAGTTTCCAAAATCTGTGCCACCACCACCACCGCCGTCCTCCCGACCGCAGATCGAAAGAGAGGCTCCTCCACTCCTCTCTCCTCTATTTCTCCATCCATCCGACAGCTCACTGAGAAGTTTAGCAGCAGCAGGAGCAGCAGCAGCAGCGGCTCCTCCGGGACGCACAGAGCCTCACCGGGAGACGGCGCAGCAGTGACGCGGGGGAGCAGCACTCTTCCCCGGGCCAGGGGCTCCAGGACAGACAGGTCTCCGGCTCGTAAATCTTTTCACGAGGACAGCAGCAGTGGTGGTGGATATTTCCATGATAGTGATACTGCTACTGCAGAGTCACAAAGAGACAATAAAGTGCAAACGTTTCAGTCTGACACTGACTCTGTGTCAGGCTCGGATTTGGAGAGGAAAAGCGAGAAGCGGATTTTTACACGTTTATCATCCGACAGCAGCTCTGGTAAGAGAGATTATTCACACATCAATGCATGTCCCTCTGATCCCAGAAAGACTTTGACTACAGATGAGGAGGATGATGTTGCTAGTAGAGGGGTTCCCCCACCCTGCAAATCTCACAGAAAGTATCTCTCCACACACCACAGTGACTTTATTCCCCTGCACTCTGACAAGTGGCCCAGTGTCACCAAAATTAGACAGATTTTTGATGAGAAACAAGACAAAACTAGGCAACAACACAAAGCTGACTCTTATGAGTATTTAAAGGCAGCCGGCAGAGGACATCTACATGATCCCAGCTCAAGTGAGAGTGCTCCTCTCTCTGATAGACATGAGAGACTCTCAGCTAATGAAGCCAGTAGCCTGTGTATAGCTGGAGCACAAAGCAGAGAAAGCAGCACTGATAAAGAGAGTTTTAGTCACGGTATGGACTTTTATTCCAAAGCTGACCACCAACAGTTCTCAAACGATGAGGAGGCAGACTTAGAGGCACAAAGTTCTGCTAACAGCAAAGTTTCTGGCAGAAACACTTTTAAAAGCAGCAGCAGTAGCAGTCGCAGTTGCACTGGGGGTAGTCACTACCAAAGGATTAACCCATCTCCACACAGATCTCATAGTCCAAGCACTGAGGCAGAGGCTGCCCACAAGACCCTCAGGACGACAGAGCTGACATCTGACCCCAGCCCTGACCTTCAACCCTCAGCTACTTCGTCTTGCAGTCGATCGGAGAGCTTGGACACCTCCTCCTGCTCCTCCTCTCTTCAGCGGCCGACAGTGAGGGAGAGAAGGGATAGACAGGGGGTCGGGCTGCCCAGGGATAGTTTACATTCCTCACATAGCTCCTCTAGAGCGCCAGCCCCCACCTCCTCCTCCCCCTCCTCTGCTCCAGCTCCAGATAAAGCCATTACCTCCTCCTCCTCTACTGTAGCTCCCTCCACCGAGCTAAGAGCCCCAGCAGGAGTTGCCTCTCCTCTCAGCTCTCGCTGGAGGTCAAGCTCTGGAGACGAAGAGGAGGAGCACATCAGGAGAAGAAGAGCCGCTGGGGGAGGCAGTTGGAGTGGTCCTTCTGGTCCTGCTCCTTCCATCCCCTACCGAGCAGGAGAAAGGGGCACCACAGAGCGGGGAGGTAGTTATTTAATCCGCTGTAAAAATGGCTGGTGGGGTGCTAAGGGTATTGGCAGGTCTTCAGGCAGTGAAGAGGACAGCCCTGGTTCTTTAGGCCCCCACAGTCGAGAGGCAGTGCGCCGCCGATCGCTGAGAAAGAAGAAGAAGGTCAGTGGCGCTGCCCTTGCAACAGGCCGTGATGATTATGATGATCATGATGGCGAATCAGAAGACAGCGACAGTGACACGGCCTTGACGATGGAGCACTTAGAGAGGCACCACCAGCAAAACACAGGAGGAGAATTTGTGGGAACAGTATCTCGGAGCCACTCGGCGAGAGAACCCAGCAGTCACAGCAACAGAGCCAGGGTGCAGCAATGGGAGCGCATCTCCTCACCTGTGACATCCACGACACTTCCTGGTGTATCACGGGTGTCAAAGGTCAATATCCCCCCATTTGTTTCCAGTCCCGGTGGTTCACATTGCAGCAGCCGATACTCCAGCACTGAGACGCTGAAGGAGGAGGACCAGGCTGGCGGTGCCAACCGTGGAGCAAATGTGTTTTATACCACAGGTGGAGCATGTGGCAACACTAGCAGAACTGCATCCTCGTCCATGCTGAGTAAAACTTACCATGGGAATTTTACCATGTATCGCTCCCCAAGCTTTGGCCATGGGGATAACTTCTCTCGTAACCCGGTGCGCATGCGCCCCAAGATCGTGCCCACAGTCCCCCCATTATCTAATGTACTTGCCAGAGAAGGCGGTGTATCCACAGGAGTTAGGGGTGGGGAGTGCTCAGCAGTACGGAAGACAACAGGTGGGGATGGGGTGGATGATAATGATAAAAATAAAATATCCATGTCCAACCCTGATATCACCTCAGAAACTATGTCCCTCTTAAGCTTTCTGAAATCCGACCTTTCAGGGCTCAAGGTGCGGAAAACAAGTGGAGACAAATCCGGGGTCTCAGAGGGGTCACCGGTGTACAGGATGGGCTCGCGGTCTCATGGCGGTACCCTGCTAACTTCTGGTCATCGCCCGTCACTGAAAGACCTGACTGCCACCCTGCGTCGTGCAAAATCCTTCACTTATTCAGACAAACCCACAACAAATGTGAGGTGTTACTTGAC